ACCTTTTAATGATGAATTGTTTAGACTCATTCTGATGGCACCCATTCACTTGGACATCAAATAAAGCAAATCCATCCATCATAAAAAGTGTCCCACACGTCTCCGGGGGGTTAATAAAGGCCTCCTGAAGCAAATCGATGTGTTTTTGTAAGAAAAAAAATCCATATTTAAAACTTTACAAACAATAATCTCTAGCTTCCGCTAACGGTTTATAAAATTTAATTTGATGATGCATGGATGCGCTTTATTGGACTTCTTTTGGATTATTGAAAAACAACACCCACTCACTGCCATTATAAAGCTTGGAAGAGCCAGGCTATCTTTTTAATATAACTCCGATTGGATTCGTCTGAAAGAAGAAAGTCATATACACTTAGGATGGCTTGAGGTTGAGTAAATCATGGGGTAATTTTTTTTTTTGGGTGAACTATCCCTTTCAGCAATGAAAGAGGGGCAAAGTGTGTTACTTGCCTTGAGATCAACCCAGGAATCCAGTTGTCTGTTGCTATTGAACTGGCACAGCAGACCTGTGTGTGTGATGCAGTAGGTGCTGCTGGACATCGAGCCACGGCCACACGCCAAACCACAGAACTGACTGTTCTGATGCTCCCCGAGCAACCCTGAGCGACCAATCAGAGGCACTGTGCTGTTCACCTGGAGGAGCCAATCAGTAACACATATGATCGTCAACCACAGATGATCTTCACAAATGCTTCGAGAAGAAACTATGTGCATATTTGAACAAGGTTTGTGCACCATCTGGCAAGACAACGAACCCACAGCCACAGAAGGATGTGGGCAAACACAGGAAATGGCATTGATTACATCGATTCAGATTAGCACACTCAATTCTTAGGTTGTGTATAAGACCCAACTAGAGATGAACCAAAACACAGGACACACTGAGCTGAAAACCAAAACCTGTAATTATTATTAGCCTTCGTTTGGCATAACCAGTTAAGGCCCTTTCACACGGTACGCGGCAGTCGCGAGTGTCTAGTTCATTCTAAATGAGAGACATGCGGAAAGCGGCAAAACGCTGGCTGTTTCGCGGCAAAGATAAAAATAATTTATCTTTTTGTGAGCGGCAGCCGCGTCGGTTTCAACCAATCAGTGAACAGATTACTAACAACCAATCATAGAACATTTAACTGATTTTATAACGGCCTATTGGAAAAATGGAGAAGATTGTTTTAAGTGTAATAGAACTTTAGGCAAATCATCAAAAACATCTTCACTTGTGCCAAACAAAAAAAAAGGTAAATAATGACAACAATTAATGACAGAATGACATGAACACAAATTTCCGTTATGTTTTATTTAGTTTTTAGCAAATACAAAGGTGATGTTGACAATTGTAACTATGGCAACGTCCGCTCCGAGACCGCAACGCGACCACCGCCTCAACTGGACAAAACGCTTCCACTACAAGAGAAAGCGGCAGCTGCGCGACGATTCCACCGCTTGCCGCGTCCCGTGTGAAAGGGCCTTTAGACATACAGCATTTCTAATTACTTCCTTTCCATTTGAAAAAGTATTATAAACCAAAGAAAAAAGATAATATATACACAGTAGGGTTGTGCGATTAATCGAAATCGTCATAAAAAAATCGCGATTTGAGCGTGCGCGATTTCTAAATCGCTTTACAGCACGATTTTTCGCGCCCCCGACCGCCCGCAGTATGCTATCTGAACCAATCAGAATGCAGCACGCCTAAATGGAGCACGAGAACAGAACAGACCGGGCGTGCATACAAACGTAACGCCAGGTTCACACACTTCGTCTGTGGTGTGTATTTTTTCCGCACCCATGTTACCCATTTTGTTACACCTTTACTTAGCGATTATTTTGCCTTATGTCTGTTCTAGAGACATGTGTAAGGATTAAAGAAACTCTGATACTTTGATCTCCTGAGAAACAGACAATACAAACATACACGGGTATCTTCGAGACATCCTACAGAGTGGAGGTGCAGGAAACGCCTCTCTCACATATGCATCAGTTCCTTTTCATCCCCTTCCTTCCCCTTACCCATCCTCCCTCCGCTTGGTTCACTCAGAATGGTCAATAGTATAATGTTCTACATCAATGCAAATAAAATGTACAGTCATGTTTGGTATCATTTGAATAGTCTCAGGGTGAGTGGTACAATGGTCTCAATCTTACAAAAGTAGACTAAAAGACAATACAGATCCTAAGAGTTAAGAGATATTTTGCTTACTGTAATGGGAGTGCCCTCTCCCAGGGTCTTCCATGTAAATTACCTTCTGTTCCCATTGAGGTGTAAACCACCCAGGTCTGGGACTATAATTAAATTGTACGTAGTTATATTAACTATCGGGGGCTAGGCAAATAGTACTAGCTTAACCGCTGATTATCGTTTTAAGCTTTAACTAAGCTGTACATGGGTAACTGTAGGGGGCTAAACAGAACTACTATTTAAAGAATGGTAAGCATGGGCAACCTGTTAAATAGTATTAGTCATAACCTCTGGCTAATGATCAGACTGGCGAGTTTGTGATCGTGGGGCCCACGTAGAGCGGCCGACGTGAGGCACCCGGAGCGACATAGATTCCTAATGAACGAGTAAATGTAAAGTAAAGAGTTAACTAGAATAACCAAATGTCAGAATAATAGTAATAATTAGAGACAGTCAAATAACCTATTTGGCCTTTCAACCTAAATTCGAGGTTATACTAAAATGGAGTCAGATCAGATAATAAAATGGAGTCAGATTAGAATTGAATAACTTTGCGCGCTGAAAAGACCGAACACGCAAGAAACCTTCATCCACCACTGGATACCTTCCTTGGGCCAAGTGCGTGGACCTTACACATGTTACAGCTTTTTGATAAAGCTCTAATTGGATTTCTTTTGGAAATATGTTACAACTTCACACTGAATGCATTTATGACTGTAAAGCATGTCTGTGTGTGTAAAAATAGTGATTAAAATCGAAATTGCAAAATTGATCAAAGAAATCGCAATTGGTTTTTTTTGTCCATATCGCACAGCCCTAATATACAGGGCTCGCAAAATCGCTAACCCGACGTCCCGGGGCTATTGTGTTTTTCATTCGGGCTACCAAAATGTTTCACCACCCAGCCCGATGGGCTATCTTGAACAGTGATATAAAATTCTTTCCTTGATTTGCGTTGTTCACTAGCTTGTATGGGTAAAACGGATCGTAGTTGATCGCTTGCACGTGTTTCTAAGTCTTGCCGATTTAAACATTCAAGTGTTTTAAACCATCCACGCATATTCGGAGCTGCGCACGCTCATTCAAAGCGCGCACAGAGAGCCGCGTTTCAGACAATGTGCATACACAGAATTGATTCCTCTTTCGCGTATCCTTGCATCTGAATGAATATATACAAAATTCTCAAAATAACTGTCTCGGCAAGTATTCACAAAAACACAGTCGGTTATGTCTTAAGTGAACGTAAACAGTGGAGAAAGAAATCTCAAGTGCATCATTATATTGGATCCGTGCATTCGGTCTTTAAGGGGCAGCAGCCTATAAATACCTGCTGTTCTATAAGCGCCACCTGCTGTCAGAGAGTGACATTTGAGTCTCATTCACAAAGCTAAAATCAAACCATTCCGTTTTGGCTTTAAATTTCGAAATTATACAATCTAAATAACATGCATTTAGCATCTTTGTTTGGATCGTGATTAAAATGCAGTGGTTGACTCTGATTTTAAATGAAAAAAGCACAGCCAAAGCCTTAATTTGTTTATATGAAGAGATTTATTTTATTTGTATTAATTATTTGATTTGGGATTTGTTTTAAAATTAAGTTAGTTTTATTATTTGACATATTTCAATTTCACAAAGAATTGTGCAGCATTTTGTTGAAGAAATAATAAAAGGACACCTCTTCATTCTAATTTTCTTAAATCTCATTTTGTTAATAAGAAAAATTGTGAGAAAATTGTATTGTGAAATCAGTATTCTGAATCAATGGCATTGTGATTTGAGTGAATCGTTACATCCCTATATGCTAATAGTTTTTGCTGTGGTATAAAAGAAGTATTCTGTTATTTAAATAATAGAGCAATATTTTTTTTGCTCATCTGCAAAATTACCCGATCTAGATATATAAAAAATAAGTTAAGTGTTTGAAAGAAGTTTCTTATGTTCCCTAAAACTGCATTCATATTATCCAAACTACAGTTAAAACAGTAATATTGTGAAAAATTAGTACAATTTAAATTTGCTTTTTATATTTTAAAACGTAATTTATTCCTGTGATGTAAAGCTGAATTTTCAGCAGTCAACACCCTTGTATTCAGTGTCATATGTTCTTTCAGAAATCATTATAATGTGTTGATTTGTTGTTTAAGAAACATTTATTATTATCAATGTTAAAACCATTGTGCAGCTTAACCCTAATAAGGTTTTTTGTAACCATTTTTTTTTTTTTATAAAATGTGATTTAAGACAAATGATAAATGAAAAGGTGTCCTCTTATATTGTTAGGACAAATTGCTGCGCTTATGAACACGGTTTTCTTTTCATCTTGCCTCTGTATAATGCATACTACAGTTTAAAATTTTCTAAAGACAGTCATTTCCCCTCAGAGATACATTCATATAAACTCCCACTCCCAACTGTATCGAGATTCGTTTAATATCTCAACCAACTTGAATCGTCACCAGCACGGGGTGAATCGTTCCATCCTTAATATAGACTCTGTGGTCTATAGACTTTAGACTTGTAGCCAGTTTTAGAAAATCAGTTCAATACTTCAAACACTTAAATGACCATTTATATTCAATCGTTTTTTTCAGTAAAGTATTGATTTTGTCTCACACTTTTTGACTCTTTTTCTAGTGTTCTATTCAATCATTTAGTTAGCTATACTGAATTAATTTTAGGTCAACAATAAATTTTTTCAGGCATGTGTATATACACATATGTATGAAACAAAATACTCAAACACATATGCACTAAAATGCACCAAATATATATTGTTTGCATATATATTTGTTTAGTATTGTATTTCATGCATCAGGTTATGGCTCATTTGCAATTCATTGCAATTAAAGGGGTCATATGACGCGATTTCAAGTTTTTCTTTCTCTTTGGAGTGTTACAAGCTGATAGTGAATAGATAAGATCCCTGAAGTTGCAAAGACTAAAGTCTCAAAACCAAAGAGATATTCTTTATCAAAGTTAAGACTCTGCCACGCCCCCCTAAAACGGCGCATTTAACTTTCACTTTCAAATAGCAGTAATTCGGAGTAAAGCAATTGTCCGTTTTCAGTTCAGTTTAATTTTCCCTCTTTTCCTTGCTTTCCTTCGCTTTTAAATAGCTTAAAAGTGCCGCGCGCATTTTACTTTCACTTTCGAATTAGCGCCACTTCGGCGTCAATTGCTTGAATGCAACAACAAAAGCGTATATATAAAACATAGAACTTTCAACAAAACAAATAACAATACACCATGCTAGGGCAAGCTATGCCTGATATAAAACAACAAATAACTTACATAAAGTTTAATAGGTATACAAAACTGGAAAGTAAACATGTATAATACATAACCAAATAAATAAGAAACAGAATGTTTATTAGCAAACCGAATGTCAAAATCCAAAATACTGCCAAACAGGTGCTTTTGCATTTCGTTTCTAAACTAAATCATCCGCGATCATCTCGTCTGTCTCACCTCACGCTTCTTGTCAGTCAGTTCGACTCACTCTCCTCACTGGAGAAATGAAATCTGATCTGTGATGCGACTGTCGTTCGGCACGCTGCATTGAGCAGCCGCGTTCAGTTTTTAATTGTAGTGTCTGTTCTTTTACTGAACTAAATGATTTGTATTACTATAAGAAATCTAAACGACGGTGGGGGTCGGTGCCACGGTGGGCAAGTGACGTAACCGGTGTTGCGGAATATCACCGTCAGCACCGTCTATTGCGGCAAGCCTACCGTGTATAACAGTTTGGATTGATATTTTATTTAAAAGATTCAAGTATTGTATAACATTGGTGGCTCTCAGCCAGGTTGCAGACCCCTGGTATATACGAAAAGTAAATAAAATTTAAAAAATTCTCTTTAAAAAAAACATTTTCAGTAACTGGAATTTCAGTGCATCTGTAGGCTATAGCAATATGTGCCAAATGTCTCACCCTTCTTTCCTTTGAGGCATCAAGGTACCAGAACTTCACATGTCTGTTCCCAGCAGTCACAAAGTAGCTGTTGTCCTCTGAGAAAGACACAGCAAGCACGCGGCTGGACACCTTATTGGATGCAATAACAGTCCCCTTCTACAAGCAATGAAAAGATTGAAAATCATTATTTATTAAATGTTCTTGTAAACCAGACTCAGTGTTCACTGCTCCCTATGCCCTGAGAACGGGATATCTGTTGAAGTTCAGTTTACTTGATAAAATGCATTCATTCGGAACACTCTACATCGTCATCACAAGCCAGAAATATCATAATTACAAATTCCAAGCACAGGAATGACTGGCAAATTCACATTTATTAGTTGGGAAGCTTGTAATTAGAGATAACAGACAAGTTGCTACTTTGTAAGGGAGGTGTCAATTTGAAACATGGCCAAAACACTAACCTATCCACCTTTTTCTTCAACGCGGAAGTAAGCCTATGGGTGAGACTTCCGGTTCATTAGCCGCTATAGGTAAATAACGAGGAGAATAACAACGTGCAGTAAACGGTAAAACTGTTTGCACTACAAACCAGTGTGTTCATAATTAAGATAATACATTAAAATAATATGATAAGACACACCAACTTTCAATATCAAGCAGCAAAACGAACTGTTTTGCTCAGCTAAAAATAGCTGGACGGAGTGGACGCAGATGAGACCGGAAGCCAGACCCATATAATTTACAAATGGCCGCGCCCATTTTTACGACAAGAAAAAGGTGGATAATGTAGATAATATCACATAATAAAAAATTATCTTTGTAATCTTAAAATCCAATATCAGTCAGGTCATTTTCTTAGGTCCATGGCAGCTTGCCGTTCCCACCTTCCACTCCCAGACGCTGACTGTCCTGTCGTGCTGGTATCCCACAGACACTATGTAGCTTCCATTAGGGGAGAAAGATACACACGCCACCCCGTACTTATGGCACTGGACCTCTGCCACCTGTGTCCGCTCTACCACATCCCACACCCGCACACAGGGCATGTGCCCGCTCTGCCCAGCAACAGGGAAAGAGACACTGAACAAATGAACGATACACTTTTAAAAATGCTGGGTTGAAAAAAAAGGTACAAACCCAGCTGCTGGGTTAAAAAAAAAGGTACAAACCCAGCTGCTGGGTTAAAAAAGGTACAAACCCAGCCATTGGGTCAAAACAACCCAAGAGCTGGGTTTGTACCTTTTTAACCCAGCATTTTTTAGAGTGTAGTAATGCACAAAATCAACATCATAAATGTGAGAGACTCCATGCACAGATATGTCTATCCAACTATATAACAGAGTGAAACAGTCAGGTGTCAGAAGTTAAAAAAATGACATTCATTTTCTCCATAGGGAACTGATTTCTTTTAAATTGATAACTTATAAAACTTTAAAGGACCAACCTACTGTGAGCTACAAGGCTTGCTGAAGCCATCCAGGTGTGCTGAAGCAAATCTACATTACCCATTAATCTGCAAATAATCTCCACCAATGAGGTAAAAGAAAAGCAAATTACGCCAAAAAAAAATTAAATCAATCAATCTTTGTCGACCCACTCCCTCTTTTTTTTTCCAATTGTAAATAATTCTTTATTTCAAATGTTTAGTTTACAACTTTCATTCCCATTTCAATTCATTTCTACTACAAATAATAAGCGATCTGATGTCAGCCATTGAAGCATACCAACTGCAAATCAACTCAATTAAATCTCTCAAGATCTAAGCAGAGAATGATTCAATAACACCAAAAACAGCATCACCAGCAGGCAGCTTCACTGGGAATACACACAGCTGACATACACTACATGAGAACAAAATTTTCATTTTTGGGTGAGCTATTTTTTTTAAATACCCATTTGCCATGTCCCCCTGTACAACATGCACCATTATTAGTCAGATGCCTAAAAAAAGCAAAGCAGCCATTGCACTGCATTTGTGATCTGTTGTCGCAGAACGCGCAGCACAGATGTCCCAGCAGCCCTGTCATAACTCCTTTACCACATATACATCATAGCTATACGAATCAATGATAGACTGCCTCCTGTCCCTTTTAAACGCTGCACAGAAGGGCATTTAGCACAGTCGTCATTCTTTTGGCTCTCATTACACATCTCAGAGCACTTACCTCACCAGTGACCAAATATTTTCCATTCTGCGAGAAAGCCAAGGCACTGAAGGTTTTCCTGGGCAACAAGCACATGATTTGGACTTAATTAAGTCACAATGTACAACATTATGCTGTGGAGTTAAAGATAAGAATGTTATTTACCTGGATGTATTAAATATGTGAGTCTGCTTGTTTTTCTTTGGGCTCAGGATGACAATAACACAACTGAAACATACACCACCACCGCATTAGTTTACAGACGATGCATTATATATATGCACATGTTTGAATAACTACACTACTGTTCAAAAAAAACTTTGGCAAGATGTTCATTTTAAAGTTCAAAATACAGTAAAAAGAAATATTGCGATTTAAATTAGCTATTTCCATTTTTAAAGATTTGGTGTTTAAGAAAAATTACTTAATGTTGAAAACTGTGCTGCGTAATATTTTTATGGAAACTGAAAAATGGAAATCTTTTGTAACATTATAAAGTCTTTAACCTAGTTTGATTTAATATGACGTGTCTTTAATGTGACAAATGTCCTTAAAATTGTTAAATCAATTTAATGAATATTTGCTGAATAATAATGAATAAATAAACAAATTACTGACCCTAAACTTTTGAACAGTGGTGGAAGTCACACCTAAACTCATGAATGCATTTGCACTAGTTTCTCTTGAACATACAGATGTCCAAGCAGAGAAACCACAAGTGGAACTTTAATTAAAGGTTACCAAAGTTCACCAAAATGACAAAATGTGTAATCTGTGGAATAAAAAGGTACATATCTGAAAAATGTCTGCAGGCTTCTCTATATAATGAAAGTGAATGGGGACTGGAGCTGTCAAGCTCCAAACACAGAAAAAAGCACAATAAAAGTCCTCCATATAACTCCTCTAAACAGCTTTCAGTCTTCTGAGGTTTAAAAAAAAAAAAAAAAACTTAAACAGAATTAAAGCTCTTAAACTGAAAAAGAAGGAAGAAAAGAAAACACATGGCACCAAATGCACTATTAATTCCCACGTCTCATGATTAACCATCATTGACAAGACCATATTTGACAGCTATAGCTGATCAACACCAAGTTTCAGAAGAAGAAAGGCTTCAGAAGACTACAAATATAGCGCACAAAACATATGGACTACTTTGCTTCCCTGATAGCACACGTACATCACGGAGACATCTATTTGATGTCTGCAAGACATATTTTTTCAGAGTGTTTGCTCATCTGCAATACATTTATAGGACGTTTCCTATCAGATGTCAAATAGACGTTTAGAAGACGCCTTCAAGATGTTTATGATTTAGAACAGGGCTGTCCAAACTCGGTCCTGGAGGGCCGGTGTCCTAAAGAGTTTAGCTCCAACTTGCCTCAACACACCTGCCTGGAAGTTTCTATGCCTAGTAAGAGCTTGATTAGCTGGTTAAGGTGTGTTTAATTAGGGTTGCAGCTAAACTCTGCAGGACACTGGCCCTCCAAGACCGAGTTTAGACAGCCCTGATTTAGAACGTATGTAATAGAGCCCGACTGATATATAATTTAGCCGATATTATCAGCCGATATGAGCCTGTCGCCGATATATCGGTATCGGCGAATATGCCGCCGATATGAAATTTTTTTTACAGAACATATAACGCAGATAAAATGCTTGAAATTGTGTAATTACTTAGTTTGTCCAGCAGAGTGCGCTCCGTTGTTTGCTACTGGCGACCTGGATAAAACGCTTTAAAGCTTAAATCGAAGGAAAACCATTGAAACTTTGAACGGCCATATCTCCGTAAAGGCGCGGCGAATCCGCACCAAATTCGGGGGATCCCTTCAGCTCGAGGAACCCTCTTGAACGCGACTCGAGTGTACGTCTCAAGGCCCTCTTTCGAATGAGACCACCCCCGCGTCGATAGCACCCGTGGTTCGGGAGTTACGGGTGGTTAAATTCGTGGTCCGGCGCCGACCGATATAGCGATCCCGGGGGGCTACCGACACGCGGAGGGTGGCGTTCGAGAGGGCTCCTCGAGCTGAAGGGATCCCCGAATTTGGTGGAGATATCATTCACGAGATAGTGACACCAGCCAACACTTTCACTTCAGTAAGGAGGTCTCTTGTTCAGGCAGCAGCATTCAAGCGTTGTCTTATTCGACCGTAAGTGCCCTGCAAATTGGACTTCACATGATATTCCACCATGATTCCAGTTCCAATGGGCATTAAAGTGGCATTAAAGTGCGCGAGACGTGAATTTATATTCATTTACAGAGGTATATTATGTCACACTTCTAGTAAGTTCCGTCTGTGTGTGAAGACAGTAGCGCAAATCCGTGAATGAATGTTCCAAAGTGAAAAGCTTCAACGGAATAAAGTTGAATGGAATTGAATTAAAGTTGAATAAACTTCAACTTTACTGTTCAGTGCCCTGATGTCAGACTCATTTTGGATAATAAAGTTTATTATTCAATTGTTAATGCCTCCATCACTACATATCTTCGTCACGTCATTATAAATGTTTGATCACATTTGAGCGATCATTGCAAAAAATGTGTTTATGTATATACTGTATTCTATATATAGTACCAGTCAAATGTTTGGACACACGAATGGGAAAGTGTCCAAACTTTTGACTGGTACTGTACTATAATATACACAAAGAATATTGGCCGATATATCGGTATCGGCCTTTTTTACTCCCTAATATCGGTATCAGCCCCCAAAAAACCCATATCGGTCGGGCTCTAGTATGTAAAACTGACATCTAGAGACGTCTGTCAGATGTTTGTACACAGCAGATGCTTTCCAGACGAAGCGATCTTTAACAGACATCTTGCAAATGTACGCGTGCTATCTGGGTTTTTTTTTTTTTGGTCAGTTTTGAACTTGACAGCTCCAGTCCCCATTCACTTCCATTAGAAGGAAAAAAGCAGTAAGGATATTTTACAAAGACTCACCTTTTGTTTTACATAAAGAAAATTGATGTTTGGATCACGATTTTTATTTTAAGTGAACTATTCCTCAAAGTATGGACTTGGACACAGAAAGCATGTATAGAAGCAGTCCTACCCTGCCGGATAAGCCACTAAACCAGTGTTGGGCTCACAGGTTAAAGCACTGCTGCTGGAGACAGTGATGCCCAGGACCTTCTCCAAGACAACCTGCAATCACAACAACTTCATCAACTGTGGCATACATATATCTACATGCATGCATGCTGGTAAAAGCAATGCAATGGTTTCTGAACGACACAAACACTAAACTGCGTCAAAAAGTTGACTGCGTGTGACTGAACGTAAAAACAGGAAGACTTTGGCCTGCTCTGAAGTAACTTCACGGTAAGTTAAACACAACAGCATTATACCCGGTTGTGAATGTCTCTTCTGTTGCTCTGTCGTGTCTTTCTCCTCATGTTCGCTGCTGTCGAAATGCTGTTGTTGTTGACTTTCTTTGCTCGAGAGGACAAACAACTTGCGTTTAGATTCGCTCCATCCGCCATAGTGTAACACTCTTCTTTAAAACGCTTCAATAAATAAACCAAACTCGCATATTAGTTCGCATTTTTTTAAAAAAGTTTAATGCCGTCCAATAATCAGAAACGCGAATGTCCGGCTATTTTACACTCCGACCGACTTTTTAATACTGTTTGGGGAGCAGAAGTATTACTTCAGCGAGTATGATAAACTGACTGGCTGAAAGCGAAACTTCGACAACAGCTGTAAGCAATGAAGTCCGTGACACGTGATCTGGTACTGGCCGTTTCAAACACACACCGTCTCCTGTGATTGGATGAATCGCGCACGGGAGGCGGGATCTTTCTTGTATCTCACTCGCTGTTGGTCAATTTAATATGACATCATTTATAGGTTTGTCCAGACGTCTTACTTTAAAAGTTGAATGAGTATTTATGGGAAGGGAGATCATCATCAGCCAAATGTATATTAAATCTTTATCTACCTCCTGTAACAAAAAGGCAACTAAAACTTTGAATGTATGCTCACTTTTTGGTGTTTTTGTGTCATTTTTATCTGATAATTATTTTGTGTTTTTGAGGGAAGAGTATGTTTTTTGTTGTGTGTTCTGTTTATTTTATTTATTTTTATTTTTTTATTAATTTATTTTTCTACTCTCTCTTTTGATTTGTAATTGCTGTATATTGTTTGATCATCCTTGAACCCCTGGCTCTTTTCCTTGGCATATGTTCTGTCACACTTGTATTTGTGAATAAGTGTTTAATTAAAAAAAAATAATAATAAAATACTTTAAAAGTTGAGATCATAAATGAATCACGGTTCGTTTTGAAATACATAATCATCAAGCATAAACAAAATGAAAGCAAGAATCATTTACAATTTTTCAAAATTAGTTACATGCATGGTTTCAAACATTATTGCATGAAAAAGCTATTTACATGAACTATTAAATATAACTGCGTGTGTGATGTTATTACGTTAACAGGGCACAACTACTTTACGAAGAGCGTTTGTTTATGTTTTAAGTTTATGTTTGGATGCTATATTTTCATTCACTGAAATTTTTGTTTGTTTGTTTTGTTTAGTTGGAGTCAAAGCTCCACACAGTTACTTTTAAAAGTAATGCATTACGATATTGCATTACTTCCTAAAAAAGTAACCAATTACGTTTTTATGGAAAGCACTGCGTTACGTTACTTTTGCGTTACTTTTTCTCAGCTGCCTTGGCCTAATTTTTCTCACTTCAGAAACAAAACGAGAGAGAGAGAGAAACAGAAATATTATGTTTAAGTCATTTTTGCTCATTAGTATGGTTGAATTGGATCATCGAAGGTCAGCAGCAAAAATACTGGTTAAAAAAACTGAATTAAATGCATAAAGATATTTGTGTTATTTAACATGTTTGCGTCATGTCCTGAGTTTGCATTTGACTGTTTTTATTGTCTGTTTGTATTCATTTTATTGAGGAATACTGAATCTTCACTAGTTGGAAAAAAAGTAATCTGATTACGTAACTCGCGTGAAAGCCGATCCGGTGATCCACAGCGCGAGGTTGATGTATTTCCTCAGGATCAGCTCCAGGCATGACGAAGCGGATATCGTCCTCTGTTAGAAGGCCAAACAAAATAGTTTCGCTTTCACAATGAAACTCCACGGCATGGCGGCAGCGGCAACAATAGAGCGAGAATAAAAGTTACGCCTTCTTTCTTTGCGTGAACATTTGGGCGGCGTTATGCAAATCTTCCCACATAGTGAGGTAGATATGTGGGGGCGTGTTAGAACGAGCCGTTTTAGGTAGGCGTGGCTGACTCTTAACTTTTATAAAGAATATATCTTTGGATTTGAGACTTTAGTCTTTGCAACTTTACAGATCTTCTTTATGCACCAAGAGCTTGTAACACTCCAAAGAGAAAGGGAAAATTGAAATCGCATCATATGACCCCTTTAAACATTTAAAATTTGGTCCCATTCACTTTCATTGTAAATGCTTCACTGTAACTTTTTTTTTTTTTTTAAGAAAAAGGAAAAATTTGTGAAAATGAATTTTTGAGGTAATCTACATTATGCCACACATGTACAAAAACATACACATGAATATTTCTCAAAATTTCTCAGGAAAGCAAGTCATATAGTTCTGGAATGACGTGACATTGAATAAATAACGTCAGAATTTTCATTGGGGAACTATGCCTTTAACTTGTACTGAACATGGAATATCCATTTAAGTTGTTTCGAGTCGTACCCATGAGTTCTTTCACTTTGTGTTTGTTGACGAGAGTCTGCAGAGCAGACAGCAGTGAGGCGTCACGGGCCAGTGCTGCCCAGCGCTGCAGGAGACTGAGGACTTCAGAGCACAATAGTTTCTGTGGGTGCAGTGTCAGCCAGCCGGCCTCCTTGTGAGCATTCAGAGCTGTCCCACAATACAACAGTACAGAGGAGAGTGTGTGCAGGAATGCCTTCATCTGAAGTGCATTCACACCACTCCTGATCAGCAACAGAAGAAAAACAAACACCTAATTAAAAACTAGATTTTTGCATTTGATGAGTAGTGACTGCATGTGGTGGATAACTGCCCATGACCTATGGAACTCATAGGAACTCATTGATGATTTGCTGAGGAAGGCATTTGCCTGAAGTCTGTGGCCGCTCTGATGTAGTGCTGTTTGCTTCTGGTTTACGCTCTTTATTACCCAAATTAGTGAACCACAGAGCGTGAAGCAACTCAATGACTGAACTCAACGGCTTGCTGTCAAAAAACCTACAGGAAACAAATATAATCAGTTGCTGCAGGGGCCCCATGAAGAAAATTAAGCTAATGCCTGCGAAATCCAGCCCTCATCTCTGTTCTACTCACTGTAATATCCATGTTAAGATGCCATGTTCTTTGGTGAGGTTGTAAGCCGCTTTGTTAACATGAGCGGTCTGCAGCGGAACATTCACAATCTGAATCTGGAACGACAGAGCAGAACATTGTAGATTGTAGAACATTTGTAGAGTTAACTATATAGCCACAAGTACTCAAACTTCAACCTGTTTAGTCCTGTTAACACTTTTTACACAAGTTCTTCCTCATTAAAATTAATTTGACTTTTTACAGTTCATCTCAGCTGTCTGTTTAGATCAGTAAAGGCTACACTTTCACAGACTCCATTTTAAAATGTCTTTAAAAAGTTGTCATGACAACTCTCGGAGGGTTTGGCATGGTAATGTACATGACAATGTTAATGTATTAGGTCTTGGCGGAAAAGATCTGCTACTCTGCGTCTGAGCAAGTACCGAGACTTGCTACTACCAATACATCCACAACATGCTGCTGTGAGCATGTAAGAAATATTGCTGCTGCAAATATAACATAAATGAAATAACCCCCATATAGTGTACATGAATCACCTCATAGCAGATCTATACAGGTGGAGCTGGGGAAGGTTGAGGGTTTCTAAAGTGTGCTGCAACTGCTGCGGCAAGCACTAGTCATATATTTGAATGTTGAGCAGTGAGCTCATTGGCTACCGATACAGGAGAGAACCAATCAGCTGTGCCACTTGATATTAGGTCAGATAGAGTTAGACCTATCGGACTGCACCATCTAGAGTTTCATGCCAGAACTCTGTATTTATTTATTTTTGCTCTGTGCAAATGTGGGCGAGTAGCTACTGTAGATGACACGATTATAATTTTTGACTAAACTGTGCTATTTCACCATACTTAAATGTTTATTTTTACTTAATGATCTTGTTTCTTAAAATTTGTTAAAGGAATAGTTAACACCCTGTCCGCAGTGAGCAGTGACAGTAGCTGCTCTGAGCTGGGTTTCTGCCACAGGGAAGGTCCCAGGCTCTTCCGGGCTTTATGGTGCTCTACTGCGGCGGGGCCCCACAGCACATACCTGACAACAAATACACATGAATAACGTTCGCAGTTAACATTCGCAAATCACGTGATGTGAAATATGCTGAAACGTACTGAAACTCCGTAAGTCTAATGGTGTTCTTCTCATATTCCTGGAGGAGGAGTAAAATCTTCTGATCTGTGAAAATCAAAACATTTGACCAATCACATAACTGACTTCATCCAAAATCCAACGAACCATGTCAAGTGGGCATGTCCACCTGTGGTGCTCAGCGAAGCTCCATATGCGCCGGGAAGCACAAAGAAGTGATTGCTGTTACAAACTTCAGGACATTTTTTCACCAGCGTAAGCAAGAGAGACACCAATGACTCTGGGAAAAAAATATCTTTAGAGTTAAAACAACTGTCATTCAGAGGGGGTTGTTTGAATATGTTCAGAAGTGCCACTGAAGAAGAATGTGGAGCTGTTGATACCGTTGGTCTTTACTTCATTACCTTTAGACAGATGAAGACTGTCGGGGTCAGCATTGTGGCTAAGAACAGAGAGTGACTGGTGGTCATCATGTGGACAGTAGCCATGGGCAACAGCTTTTTAGGGGTCTCTGGCGTTCCATATAAGATCTCCACCAGTAGGCATGGGCCGATTACCGGTTTCAAGGTATACCGCCATTTAAAAATTTCACGGTTTCAAAACCACTAATATTTTCCGTGTTCAAAACTATCGCCTTACTTTAGCCATATTCACAACGGTTAGCTTATAATAATGTTTTCTAATTTCAGTGGTACGGGTAGGTTTTCGCGGGAAATTCAAGCATGGCACTGCGTCATTTCGTCACGTCTGTAAACATAAAGAAGTTGTCCCGGATGTTGCGTTAGGATGGCTATTTGTCGAGTTTTGTGTTAAAACAAGCCAGGTGAGATGAACGTAATTGTTGTATTGTTCAAGCCTCTTACTCTCCCACTAGGGGGCAGTCGTTAACCATATCACCACACCGGTCCGTCCGTTTTACCCTTGCCAAAAAGTGATTACAGACTCTACTTAGTGAGTAAACTGTTCTTTCTTCCTCATTCATGATTGTTTTATTTGATAGGTTATAGCTCATTCAGTCCTTTTTACATGTTGAAATATCTTTAAATGGCCAATAAAACCCATAAAATGCAGTTTTACACTAACCAAAAAGTGAACTGTTCTTTCTGCCTCAAAATGACTTAAAGGGGTCATATGATGCGATTTCAATTTTTCCTTTCTCTTTGGAGTGTTACAAGCTCTTGGTGCATAAAGAAGATCTGTAAAGTTGCAAAGACTAAAGTCTCAAATCCAAAGAGATATTCTTTATAAAAGTTAAGAGTCAGCCACACCTACCTAAAACGGCTCGTTCTAACACGCCCCCACATATCTACCTCACTATGTGGGAAGATTTGCATAACGATCGGCTTTCACTGTGGATGAAGTGGAGTCCAGCCCGGGGTCGTCACATGTGGTTGCCGCTCCTTCGTCGAATCCGCCGGTCACGCCGTTCTCAAGCCCGCCCGCTTCCGATCACTCTAGCCTGCAGCCTCCACTCACGCTAGGCCACCGTGTGTTTCGTTGTGAAAGCGAAACTACTTTGTTTGGTCTTCCAAAAGAGGACACAACTAGAAATCAGTGGTTAAGTTGTATTTACAACACTGTTCCAGAACAGTTTAACCCAAATATCCAGATGTGTGATGCACATTTTGCGGAGGTTGAGGACTGTTTCCTGTGAGAGTAGCCTACAATGCC